GGAATGACAAGCAGAACAAAACCCATGGCTGTTAAAACAGAAAATCACCACAGTTAGGACCTGGTATTATCCTAATTATTGCAGTTACTCCAACTGGGAGAAACAGACAAGACCTGGGATCATCTTGCCCTTGTGCCCAGTGGCAAAATTTCCTCCATGTCACCCCACTGCTTTGCTCCCTGGGGTGAGCAGGACGCAGCCGGAGGGGACCTGGTAACTAGAGACTGGCCAAATAACCAGGACCTACTGATGCAGTCTCAGAGAAAGAATCTGAAAATCACTTCATTTAAATACTAGACTTTTGGTCGATCTATTTTCTTTTACATCCCTTTTAAGTCTTTGAAAATTTATTTACAACAAGCTTAAACTGTCTCTATTTACACTTTCTCTACTGACTTCTCACCCAATACATAGACATGGATGTGTCTTGCAGTACATTTATTAGCGGTTATAACAGAGAGGGGTCTCTTTGGTAGAACAGCAAATTGAAAGGCAAAGTAGCTGTTCTGGGGGATGGAGTGAAGTCTGAGTCCAATTAACAAAATGGCATACCTGTCACTGGCAATATCACAGGCGAGGAAAAGGATGGATTAGTCGAACCTGCGAAGAGAGAGAAAATCTTGATTTTTTTATTGATTTGCTCATCAGGTGAAGAGCACTGAAGCAGTGATGAGGGTAGAGTCGGGTGAAGAGCCAGCTCATTCCAGCACTGAAGCAGTGACAAGGGTAGAGTCTGACAGCTCTCCCTCTGCACAGAAGACTTAATAATTGCCTTGTTTGTTTCTTGGCCATCAGTAGATATTTCCAGCCTGGGTATCAACATACATGATGATCTGATATCTGTTAATGATGGGCATGAAGTGAATTGCATCTTCCAGGGAATGGGATCCAGCTAAGATCCTTATTTCTTATGATCTTGGGAAGGTGCTAAGATAGGATTTGGAAAAATTACTTCAGACTGGACCTTTTTTTCCCAAAAAAATGCAAGCCAAAATATCCCAGGTGCAAGAAACTAATTAAATTTCTCCCTTAGCTGGAAAAGGAAGCTCTGAACTTGAGACAGTATGAGATAGGGACAGGTTTTTAACAAGAGGTTCTGTAAGATCCTAATTTAAAAATTTCAGGTATTTATAATCTCTGACTATTCAATAGGTTGTATCATTTTCTAGGGCTGGTATGTTGATGGGTTATTTTCATCATAGCAAGAAGTTCCTTCATCCTGATAGTACCAAGTGGAATTATCAATGGGGGAAAAAAAATTGCTGTTGTAAAGGAGAACAAAACACCAAACAAAAATTGTGACTGCTGTACCTGGAACACTCTGAGCTGGGTACCACCGGGAAACAGATGGATCTATGAAGAAGGGGAGAAAGTCCTGTGTTAATGCTGAAATAGGGTGTCCAGTGAGTAAGGTTGTTAATTGTTACAGTCTGGGCAGCAACAAGAGCAGCACCAATGGCCAAATGTCACCTGAGAGGTCATTCTGCAGGCAAAAGGGCCTGCCCAAACCATCTTGCTCTACCACGTGGCCTCGCATGGGTCACGAGGGCTGGCATTCACATCACCTACCCTTATGTATATGTGACCTCTGAGATAGTCATCTGGGCTCTGCTACTGTCACTGGGGAGAAACCAGCCTTTAAAAGGTGCAACTCATCTCCCACTAAAATAGATGTGAAAAAAGGCAGCTAAACAGCACCATCAAACCTATTCCCCTCTGTTACTTACAAAGGCAGTCCAACTCCGATGTGGGCATCTCTGCAGTAGACATCTACAGTTCTGCAAGATTAATTTCCCCTTAAATGCCCAAGTACTTGTGAAAATCATTTTTTTCCTCTCTGTTGGTAGAAGTGTTGATCTTCCAGTGGCTCCCACCTCTTTACAATTCAGCCCATCACATGCCTGTCTCAGGGGAGGTTGAGAGGGTAATGAAAGCCTGAGGACTGTAGAGGTGGTGGACAGCTGGGTCCTTCCACCTTCAGTAGTTCTGCCTGACACCCAGAGAGAGCCCCAGACCCTCAGTGCTACCACAGACACTTGGGAAAGGGGCTCTGTTTTCTCTCTGCATGTTGAACTCATGCATTGCAGAGATACCACATTGTGGAGAGATACCACCAGAAAAGATGGGTAACTTGGGTGGAGTAGAGGCCATGAATGTCGGGTTTTTTTGGTTTGTGGTTTTGGGGTTTTTTTGCATTAACACATCTAAAGGGATAAAAGCAAGAGGCAGAGGTTCTGCAGTCTCACTTGAGAGCCCTGCTGACTCCCTGAGCCGTGAAACTCAAGATGCTAGACCACAGCGGAGCATGTCCTACTGAATCTGGGTTCATAAAGACTACGGTGCAATATTAGTGGGCTTTGTGTTGGCTTTTCATTCAGAACAGCACCCTGGATTTTAAATTAAGATCTGAGCCACGTTACTCAGCTTAGCTATGGACTAGCTAAACTCTGGATCCTAAAACCTTGAGCAGTCATGAAGGATGCTCAGTTACACCTTTTGGAGTACCTTACTGTGAAGTGGCAATAGATGGCCTATAGCTGCCAGGAGGAAGGTGAAAAAGAAAGGGTTATTCTACTATTTTATTCCCAGTATACAGCAGAGTGGGTCTAGCTGCTAACAAATTCCTTCAGTTTTACAGTTACTATGAAAGGACACCCAAGACAAAGTAGGATGCTGGTCCATTCTCCCCAGAGATGTCATCACCCTTGGTCAGAGGTGGCATCTCTATCAGTGTTGGAGCCTTGAGCTCCCTGATCCCTCCATCCTGAACCCCAAGCAAGCCATTCCCTAGGATTGATGTGCTGAACTGGGGGCTCTGGGTCCTGCACGAGCAGGTCACAACACCAACATGATGCCAAAGCAACCATCTTACCTGGCTTGATAGTCTGTGACAGCCACTTACCGCTGTCGTTGGTGCATCGTATGTCCAGGGGGGTCCAGATGATTTTACCATTCTCCTCCTTGCACGTGCGGTTGCCAGAGGTAGGGGGAAGCTTATCGTAACCGCTCTGGCATTTGAAACGTAATACTTGTCCCACGTAATACTGTGCCTTCTGGCTTAAAGACGCGTGTGGAATAATAGCATCAGGAGGACCACAAACATCTGTGGGATCACAAGGCAGCACACGGTTAAAGCTGATGGATTTTACCTACTGCTTTTGTTCTTGAAACAACATGATTTGCATTGCTGCAAAATGCAGACAAGCAGGATATGCCAAGCCTTCCTAATTATTTGTTAAGATATAAAACACGTACTTACACCATATCACTTGTTCAGCTAAGTTATTATAGTAATTGTTTCCTTTTCTTTGTCAAAATAATTTAAAATTTCTTATAATTTTTTATGATGCTTTCATGGAAATCACTGTGAGAAGTGTTACAGTAATGGATGGGCTCTTACCTACCTTTCTGCTCAAACTCTGGCAGGTTTTGTCGCTTCTGGGGTGCAGGGCTCTGCGTTGTTCTTGGTGACTTCTGTGTGAGATCTAACTCCATCGTGGGAGCCGTTGACAACAGAGTTTTCTCATCTGTGGGAGAAGTTGTATTTGCTGAGTTACAACAAGACAAGCGGCAGAACAAAGCCAGAGCACTCAAAATTTTAGAGGTGGGATGGAACTGTGGCAAGTTATAATTTGTGAACACAAGTGCAAAGGACCATTTGTTAGAGTAATGCTCAGATGTGTCTTATACCGACTAACTCATTGGAAAAATACCTCTCTGGGTGTAGAAAAAAGGACATTAATCACTTACCAATGCATTCAAATGTCTTGTAGTCCCAAGAAGCAACCTGTTGTATCTTCTGACACCGAATTCCTGAGTACTGGCCACTTCTTCTTGTGTAGCCGCTGTCACATTCATAGTACAACCTGGTCTCCACTTGATATGTGTCCGCAGTAACATCAGCAAATTCAGTCCTTGGAGGATCTGGGCACTTTGCTGCAAACAGAAAGCCTGAGAATCAGGACAACCAGTGCATCTACCTTATTCACCAAGGACTTCCCACATCTTTCTGTCTTATCAGTACCAGCTCATGCCCAGAGCTCAGTGGAGTAAGCCTAAAATCACAGCTGGGAGACGAAACTGGATGTTGTGAAGGGACCACAAGGGTAGCAAAGCTCTGCTTCTTCGGTTGTCTCTAAGCCAAGGAGAGTGTCAGGTGAAACTATTTTATTTTAAGCAATCTTCTTTTATTTAATTTCGGAACAATCCTGCAGTCCAAAGCCCTCTTCACGTTAGAGTTAGTTGTTGCCATTGATTTTATAAGTATAGGCTTGTTCAGGACGCAGAAAAATCCCTCGGGAGTGTCTCCACCAAGTGAAGCCTGCATTTGCCTACATTTTTTTTAATTAGGAGGGGCTGATTTGATTCTCTTGTGTTTCTTTTAGAGGGGACAGGATTGCTGGAGGAAGGATGTTCTGCAGCAGCTGGGAGTGGTGGTAGGAGGCACCAGACCTGTCTGCCCACTCCTGCCTGCCCTGCCTGAAGCAAGATGCTGAGCCCTTTCTTTCTACACCCAGCAAATGGGCAACATGAAACCCTACAAACATTTTCCTAATGAAGCTATACAAAATCTTATCGTAGAGCTGCACTGGAGTGTGCAGCGCTGGATCTATGCAGTGAGGCATAATAAGCAAAACTAAGCCATTAAAAGCTGCAATCAGCTATAAGCAAACATTGGAAAAAGGAGTAGACTCCTAGTTCTGTCTGTGCACACCAAAGAGCAGCTTACTGTGAAATAAGTTTGCAAACCTAAATATAACTTGTCCCAAAACAAGGACGTGAAGTGCTGTGTCATCAGCAAATCACATCTAAATATACTCCTCAATCAGTTGGAATGAATTAAGTTAAATCATTTCAGTGCACTTGAAAAGCCTGCTGAAGCCGAGCTGGAGACCCAGAAGTTGATAAAGGCACTACTTAATGACCATTTGAGGCCTAAAGGGTGAGAAATTCAAAGATTAAACAGGCTGGTTGCATCAGGGCTGGCATTTGGGATCCTTGGGTGCATGATCTGTGCCCTTTCCCCTTATGCATAACGGTAACGGCTATTAAGAAAAAAAACTTTAATCATCATGTCTTCCCATTTTCTGCAGCCATAATTAATGCAGCCTTTGCAACCAGGATGAAGGACTGTGATAGGGCCTTGAATGTCTGATAGTTGTTCATCATTTGGCATGTGCCCTTGACTCCCAAAGGGCTTTTTCCTCAAAGCAAAGCCACTCCTTGACAGCAACAAGCAAATCAGCCACTGCCAGACCCCATCCTGCAATGCCCTTTTCTTTCAGATCCACACATCATTTTCTCGCTTAGATATTTTCCGTCCTTTTTACTTTCCATTATCTTGCTGCTTAGTAAAAATCAGGGTGTTTGAGGAAGGCAGTAGTGAAAAGTAGCACAAGTGGCTTCACAGCTCGGTTGGATCAGGGATATTTTAAGCCCCTTCTATCTTTGTGTTATCAAAGGATTCGCCTTGTAAACTGCATCAGACTGTGGCTTCAAGAGAAGCAACTGCACCCGAAATAGTTAACCACATGGTTTACCACAGACTGTCAGGGTGATTAAAATTAAAGAGTTATCAGATTAACAGCAAGTTGAGATCACGTACTCTCACTTTCCCTGAAAGCTAAAAGCATGTTTCCCCTCAAGACTTCAAAAGCCTCTTTGAAGCAGACTGCAGATCTGAATCTAAGCATGAGGCACTCAAACCTACAACTCTTTAGCCTCTTCTTAAGAAAAACCCTCAGCATTTAGCCTACTCATCATAAAGGGCAACTGTTCTAATTGATGATGAAGTGAAGTTAAAGTTCTTCTGAAGTTGCACACGTCAGATGAGGGCTGTGCAGAAGTGGTGCCCAGGGCTGACGGTGAGCAATGCCCATCAGGCTGGTGCTCTTGGATCAACTCATCCACATTGCAGCTTGATCTCACGCAACCCTCCTAGGATCCAGCCTTTTCATTTCATCCACTCAAATTCCTGTCTTCTCACATCTAAACCACAGCAATATCTACTTCTCTGTCTTTTACAACCATATTCCTGTCTCTGATCCAGAAAGAACTTGGAAAGACAAATTTCCCAGGTCTCATTGTGACCTTCTGTTTGCATCCCTCTATTGACTTCTAAGTGCTTCACTGTCACATCAAATACTTTTACTCCCATTTTCAAGAACTTTCTCCTTATCAACCATCATATGCTTTCAGAACATCAGCTGCTTCTCCCATGCTAGACTTCCTCACCAACATGTCTGGTATCAAAGTCATCAGCTTTGGGGTTTATTGTTGTACCAGTTCTCACACCAGGAGGAGCCTTGCATGAATATGGAGTTTTCAAGTGGCCATTATTCCTCATGACTGTTTTTAAGCACCTTACGTATCTTCAGAGGTTCTTTAAGTAGTCTTTCACCCATCTTTCAAGAACAGGTAGGCACTCAACATGCTGACAAGTATTACTGCTGGACTTTTTCACCTGACATTTGGATCCTAAACTTTCTGTGTTGGTCACCTATTTGTATCAATCACACTTATGCAAATGAGTCCTAATTATCAGCCAGGACTCCAGGCACTGTGGCAGTAGATGGAGATGACCTCCCCTAGGAGGACAGGCTGAGAAGGTTGCAGCTGTTTAACCTGGACTAGAGAAAGCTCTGGGGAGACCTTCCAGTACTTAAAGGGGCCTACAGGAAAGATGGGGAGGAACTCTTTATCAGGCAGTGCAGTGACAGGACAAGGGGTAATGGTTTCAAAGAGAAAAAGGGTAGATTTGGATTAGATATTAAGAATAAAATCTTCTCTGTGAGGGTGGTGAGACACTGGCATAGGCTACCCAGAGAAGTTGTGGATGTCCCCTCCCTGAGAAGTGTTCGAGGCCAGGTTGGACGGAGCTCTGAGCAACCTGGTCTATTGGGAGGTGATTCCAGGATTCTATTTGATAATAACTCTTGACAATGACTACATGCTTGGAGAAGTTGGTCTGGGAGTGGAAACTATAGTTTGGCCCAGAAGAGCTCCAAGTGCTTTGATATCTGGCAGCATCACATGTTCAAGCTAATTTCTGTATTCAAACTTCCATCAGGGATCAATAAGTACCCCCCAAAGCTGCAGAGGCCCTAGATGGTGGCACACAGATGTGCAGGGGTGTTTCATGGTACTGGACCTCCTGGCATAGTGTGAGAAGACTGTGCAGAGAAGCAGCAGACCTGGTGAGGTCTGGACCATATTGCCCACACAGAACAACCTCTAGAGTGAACCATCCTTAGAATTTCATTTAGTCTTTGTGCCAAAGGAAACTGCCTCGTTTGAACTGTCTTGTTTGCCACTAAAAAAATATACACCGCTGCTGTGCAAGTGATGGAAGAGCCAAGGGGTGAGAAGAAGCCAAGGAACTAGGGAATGGCAGTGCAGATTTCCCCCTTGACTAGATTCCTGGCTTTTTTTGCATTTTTAGGGGAGATTAATTTTGCTTTTTGGGGTATTATTTTTTGTTTGTTTGTTTTCTGTTTTGCACCTGGTTGGCAATTAGTCTGTCAGTTTGTTGGTGTGATATGAAAATATACATCTCATAAAAGTTGAGCACACTGGGACATAACCTGCCTCATAGCCAAGGGTGACCCAGTGTTGCACAGTTCAACTTGCCGCTGGATTCTGCATCCCTCCACAGCTGCTCCAGGGCTACACTCCTGCTGGTATTGGTTTAAAAGACAATGCTCACATCACCTTCAAATCTTTTGGGGTTTTGTTTGCCCTCTCCTTTCTCCTTCCCCACATCCTCCATTTCTCCATCACCCATGACAAGGAGCTGTGTGTCCCTATTTCCTTCTCTTTCGATCCTGATGTTCTCTGTTCCTCTTTTTCCTTCATTCACAAGCTTCATCAGCCCCCACCTACCATTCTCATCTCCTACACCACAAAAGTGCCTGGTGACTCCATTTCTTTGCACTTAGAGGTACTAACATGATATATTGAAATTTTGAAAATTTTGGAACTGCTTTCTAGTATTACCATATAGTGGATGGAGACATGCCCATAGAATTAGGAGACTAGTGAATTCAGATGATAGACGTCCATGAAACATAAAAAGTAGTTACTGCTTTTTCTGCTGTGCTCCTAAAATTAAGTTTGATAAGCTTCCTGAGACCCACAAGCCACAAGATATGCGGGATTCCTGCTATTCGTACTTAAGCAACAGTGCCTGGTGGCATCTGAGGTTTCTTGGGGCATCTGGGACTTCCACACTAGCTGTCAGATACCACATAGGAATTATTGAAGGCTGGTGCCACACAGAATACCTCATCATACCCTGTCTTTTGTGAGTTCATTGCCATGTGCTAAATAAAGCTTAACTGTCTTTGCTTACCCTCAGCATCTCGCATCATTTTTTAGGCTCAGGGAAAAGAACCTCACCAGCTAAATTTCCATCAGTTCTTTCAGTGCTTGGGTTTCCTCCTCTAGGTTTTTCATTCAAATAAGTTACAGATTCAACATAAAACTGCTCATAGTAAACGTGCTGGCAGGATTAAGATTTATGAAGCTCTCCTGCCTATTCCTCTTCCATGTCTGAATTACTGGAGCACTGTTAGACAAGGCATCAGAACAACACCATATATCCAGAAGAAGTGAATGGGGAAAATTTCTAACAGGTATTTTTATTATTAAGTAAACGCAGACAATGAGTCATGCCATGACAACCTAAACTCAGAATTTCCTCCATCATGTGGCTGTGTGTCACCAGCGTTGACATTATTCTGATCTTGAATTAAAAAGGCAAGGTACAAAAATAGGACCATTTTCCCCTAAATACAAAGGTGGTAAGAGTGGATCACTAGGAACTCGGCTGTTCTGGGTAGAAGCAGTGAAAGAAACCAGGCACTTCATCTGCCTGCCCAGTTCGGAGACGAAGAGAGCCTTCCCCAGAGATACCAAGAAACCAAACCATGTCAAGA